TTTTCAGGAAAAATGTGATAAATTTTACCTGTCTGAGAAAACTGGAGAGAGAAAAAAATCAATGAAGTATTCTTTACCATTGAATAGGCCCTCTTGCAGTTGTTCTGCCTCTAAAGTCAGGGGTCTTACACAGCTGGGATTCCCCAAATGATCCAAGAAGGTTTTAGATGCAGCCATATGTTTATGTGCCCAGATAGAAGAGAAAGGTGAGCTGAGAATCTGAGAATTCCAGAGTTACAACTAGTATTCTGCGATCAGCCCTAGAATAAGCTAGAAATCAGTGGAACTGCTTCTTGCAGTTAGCACCTGTTAAGCAAGTATCTGCATTGTCATCACCATCAAGCACTCATCAGGTAGTCTTATATAAATCGTGGGTCTTCCCCCATTCAATGATTTAAAATAAATAGACTGAAATACTGTATACATGGAGAAATGAGCAGTGGGAATATTTTTTACTGGCACCCCACTTTTGTAGCACCAAATTGTGCCTGAGGGTTGCTTTCTGTTGTGAATCTATTCTCCCCAGTCCTCAGCTATAGTCCAAGAGAAGCATTGCATTGCACCGCATAGTAAATTCTGAATAATCAGCAGTGTAACCTGTCTGTAAAAAAAGGTAAGTGCAATCTTAAGCAGAACAGGAATATGAGTTCCACTTCACAGAAAATAAAATTTCTTCTTCACTTTGCATAGGTCAGATCCTGCCTCAAGTATTTAAGAGTCAACTTCATGGGCATGAAATTTAAGAAAAATGAGGGCAAATTAAAATGGGCTAGGTGGAGAAGAGCAACAAAGATTGGACAAATCTTTCAACTTAATTCTTATAATTTTAAAGATCTAAAGACCTACCTTTCTCTGCAGATCATCTTATAATAGCAGAAATCTGAACTAGAATTCATGGGAATCCTAGAGGACTGGGCCTCTTAGAGACAGGGAAATAGATCAGATGACAGAATGTCTGGATGAAGGAACTGCCTTAAATCATTTCATGTGGTACAATATCAAATTCATGGTGATTTCAAAGTCACAATAGTGGCATTTGGAGCAGAATTTTAAGAATGCGATTTTCAAAGGAGGCTTACCACAAGTAGATAATCAATTTGATCATGAATATCAAATATTCTGTGCACAATCTACTAATGACATTTCTGCTGGAGTTGGCATGAAGTGAAATGGTTGCAGGTTAGGAATGAATAGCTGGCTGACAGCAGCTTTCTGCCTGGATGGATACGTTCCCATGGGAACAGAAACAGCTGAGGTCCTGCAATGCAATGCATGTTTTTACAAGGGGGAGAGCATTTTCATAAAGTTCACCATGACTTATGAGGTGCTTTTACTTGTCCTCAGTAGATCTGTCTAGAAATATCAGGTAGATTAAGAGGCAGATGAAGTCATAAGATTTCTTCTCCCTGGAGAACATATCCATATCAGACAGCGCTTTCATTTTTGCTGTAAAGATTAAACCCTATTACATTATTGGAAATACAATTTTATTTATTTATGCAATTTATCCCAGCTTCAATCCAGAGGCGTTCTCTTGTCTAAAAGAAGCAGACATGTCTTAATAAAGCCAAGAGCTCAAGCATGGCATTAGATGTTTGCTTATTTATTAGGGCATTGTTCAACTCCCTGTAGCAGTGAAAAGGGACTTCATACAATCCTTTACTAGCCTTTTAATAGCTTTAATTGTCTTACTTTGGCCAACTGGCAGACAAATGCTAGCTAGACCAGAATAATACATTCTGTTGGGTTGTAAAGAGGTGGATTTAGATTACTTTTGTTGATAAAAACACCAATGTGAATTCAGAGCTTCGAAATGCGAATTCAGATCTTAGAAACCACTCAAGAAATGACAGCCTTTTGCAAGAAGGAGTGACTTCTTTGCATATTGCTTAAGAGCTTGCAGAATGGAAGGAAGGATGTGCTATATCACCGGTTCCTGCAATAAAACTATTCCCAGTACTTAACATAAATGTGAGCATTTATGAAGGGGACTTCAGTTAGAATGTGGCTACATGTACTCTTTATTTAATTTATCAGTCAGTGCGTCAATTGTTGAAGCAACTCTCACTGGTAAATCAAACACAAGTTAAAATTTAAAACAGAAACATAGTACCATAGTATACAAAACAGACACATAAGACTGTTGGAGCTGAGTTACAAATCACTCTGCCATGGTGCCTGGTTGTTGTGGCTTTTCCGAAGGCCAGCAGGAATGGGGCTATATGACTTCCAAAGGAATGTTATTCCACAGGGCAAGTAGCAGATATTTTTACCATTTTAAAACATTGTGAAAAAGACACTGTGATAGTGATCCAAGTGGGAGCTAAGAACCTGGGAATCCAGGCTCAAATTCCCACCGAGAGATAAGGCTTCAACTGGGATGAGTTATGGCAATTACAAGATCTCATTGCTTTCATTGGGCTGATAACAACAACCTTGCACCTAAGGTTCACCCCTTTGGAAATGTTCCAGTTAATGTAGAAAAAGAGACTGGTTTGTGACATAATGCGGTGACACTGTTTTTGTCAGTCGGCAGTTCCACTGGGGAAAAAAAAATACGCTACCTTCTGTTTTCTAGAGAAAAAGATGAAATTAAAAGCATACTAAATTAAGTAGAATGTCTGCTTTTGAATATTTTTAGATTGTTGAAGGTGGGTTGCTGTTTGTGTGTTTTGCAAGAGACAGAAGCTCAAAGCCGCTTGGCCATGTTGAATCAATTGCCATTTTCTTCAGGTAGGCCAGTAGTTGCTTGAATGTGTGCTTCATGCCCCACCTCTATGTGATTTAGGCACATTTCTTATCGCTGAATCTCTTAATGGTGTTTCAAGAGATGATGAAGGAAAAGTATGTCAGTGTTTTCCTTCTGAAAGGGCAGGGTACAGCAATAGATCGGCTTTAGTAGGCTTTGCCAAATTTATTTCTGGAGCTTGAATATGAAATTGTTTTTTTTTCTGAGTGGCTCAGGGTGAAGCCTAAATGTCACAGAGCGGGCTCTGGATAATAGGATATTCAGTTCTCAGCTGTCTAAACAGCAAGTTGGCTCCACCTCTGATTTTGTTCATGTCTTGGATAAACTATTTATTGCCAAAATCAAGCAACAGGAACAATATGTCGTTGTAAACAAATTTTTTATAAGAAGCTGCTTGCATCCATTTCTGACTAGCAGCTTCTACACAATAGATGAACACATTTCCTAGCACATATACTCTCCAGTCATGGAGTGGATGATTCTTTGAACTGAGAATGTTGATTCTGTAGAAAAGAAAGTAAATAACCTAGGGAAACAAAGGCTTCATCTAAAGTACCAAATAAGTAATTCCAGGAACTGATGCTCGGACCTGTGACCAATAACTCAGGGGGCTGCGATTTCTAATAATTAATAAAAATTTAGGGCTTTTTATAATTTTAATCAGCAGAGAAATACCATCCTCTTTCTCTTTTATACATACACACATTTGTTAAATATACATACATACACTATCTACACATACATGCACGTGCGTACACACACACACACACACACACACACACACACACACACTGGTACTTTGATACTCATCATTAATTAGTTCCAGGAGGTGCAATGAGTACCAAATAAATTTTTTCCATAGGGCCTGATGGTGAACCTATGGCATGTGTGCCACAGGTGGAGCCATATCTGCCAGCACGTGAGCCATCAGCTCCAGCCAGCATGCGTATGCTGGCCACCTGACTTTTGGCATTCCGGATGGCAGGGGAGGCCATTTTCGCCCTCCCCAGACTTTAGAAAAGCCTCTGGAGCCTGGGGAGGGTGAAAATGGCCTCCACAGGCCCTACAGAGGCCAGAAACGGATCGTTTCTGAATTTCTGGTTGGCCTGTTGGGCCTGTTTTTCACCCTCCCCAAACTCTGGAGGCTTTTCTGAAGGCTGAGGAGGGCGAAAACTCCCCCCCCCCAATGTGGGGGAGTTATGTGCACATGTGCTGGGAGTTGTGCGTGCATGCACAGGTGGATGAGGGCATATTGCATTGTGGATGTGGGGCATGGACGTGCCCCCCATCATATGCACACGTACAATTTTGGCACCTGTTTACAAAAAAGTTTGCCATCGCTGCCATATGGAATAATATAGTGCTGTGATGATGAACCTATGGCACGGGTGGCACACGGAGCCATTTTGCCTAGCTCGTGCAGCGTCATCCATTCCTCTTCCGGGTTTCTGGCATGCATGGATGCACGATGATCACCTGGCCTTTGTGCACGTGGAACTGCTGGAAACTGGAACGTTTTCTAGCGTGGGCATATATACCGGCCAGCTGATTGTGTGTGCCTGTGTTCCAGTAACCAGAAGACTAGGTGGCCACTGCGCATGCGCATGCTTGAGACTAAACATTCATTTCCCAGTGCATGCGTGCCCCCTTTGCAGCTCCTCATCCGGGTTGCATGGTTGACAAGCACTCGCTCCGAAAAGGTTATCCATCACTGATATAGTGAGTCACAAGGAAGCTGACAAGTTCAAGCTTGTCTGTTGAGTACCAAACAAATGATGAATATCGGAACAAAATTTCCTTTCAAAATGCATTCATAATCAAATTCAATGAGTTTCAAAGTATCTGAGTACCATGGTAAGACTATATACGTATATATATATATTTAAAACTACCAAAAAGCGAATCATGAATTAAATACAATCTGTATCAGTCTCTTGTTTTAAAGAAAGTTCTTGCAACACTTTTTTGTCTTGTCTACATTTCCTGGTTTTGACATGCAAATCTTGTGTAGAGTGTGTCTGCACTGTGTACTACAGCTGTTCAAATATATATGATTTTAAAAAAAAGCCTGGGTGATAACTGGACAGATGTACAATTTGAGCCTTCTAGCTCAGAAAAAGCTAACTGGCTTTCTATGATAAATCCCTTTTATGCCATCTACCATACAAAATATAGTTTTAACTGTGTAATATTTTCTCTTTTTCCTGCTGGACTATATAATTCTAATTTCTACAAATTATGTTTTAGGAAACTCCTAAAATCTCATCATCATGGGAGCTGTGGCGATTGATGACAGTCCATCTGGAGTTAAAGCCCCAGATGGTGGCTGGGGCTGGGCTGTACTCTTTGGGTGCTTTGTCATCACTGGATTCTCCTATGCCTTTCCGAAGGCCATGAGTGTTTTCTTCAAGGAACTTATCCGGGAGTTTCATGTTGGATATAGTGACATAGCATGGATTTCCTCTATTTTGTTGGCTATGCTTTATGGAACAGGTAAGCAGCTGGGAAATCAAAGACACATCTCATTTTTTTAGAGTACCGTAGATTAGGGAATACAGGAGGGTCAGGAAGAACAGACTCTTCGTCCTCCGAGAACCCCATGTCCTGACGAGGTTCCTCGCCTAATACTGATCCCTCGCTAACCACAGAGGGAGAAGGGGGCCTAGTAGGCACATGTCTCTACGCAGAGGAAAGATCCCTAGGTTGTTGAAGGGAATGGGAGGCCCTATCCCTAGGCGGGGGGGAATTCCCTTTGGTTGAGGGCTGAAGTAACCCCTTTTAAGATGGCAGAGATCAGCCTTTTGATGCTCTCGGGCAATAATCTAAATTTTCATATTCATCCTCATATTGATCTGCCAGTGGCTCTAGGGGAGCTAAGGCCTGATGAGGAAGAAAACCCCTGGAGGAACCTTCCAATGGATCCTCAGCATCCTCCTGGACCCCTTGGTTAGAAGTGGGAGGGAAGGAGAGACCTCCATGCCCCTTTGCCTGATGGGTCAATTAGGGGAGACAGAGGGGGGGAAAGGACTAAAGCCCCTGGGGGGAGAGCCCGATTGATAAGATCCCGGCCTTAATGGGGACTGGGACCTACTGTGGGAGCTAGGCCTGGGGACCAGGGCCTGCTGTTCTGCCCTGGCAATCCTCTTTTCGAGAGCACACTGGTGTCTTAACTTGTCCCTCTGGGCTGCCCTTGATGGTCTTTGAGCAGCAGAAGGTCTGGCTGCTGCTGCCCTAGTTCTAGGGCCTTCCATAACCCCAGATCCGGCTTCAATGCGGCCTTCCCTCTGGGCCTGTGATTCAGCCATGCAGCCACTCATGCATCTGAACTCTATGGATTTGCCTGGAGACACCTGCTGGTGCAGAGGCCTTGCAGGTGAAGAGTGGAACCCCGGAATCTCAAATGCCGGCCTGAACCTGGCCGCAATTGCAATGAGTCCCAATTAGTGCTCAAAATGGCCGCCTCCATGTGCGTGCTTTAAAATGGCCACTGGCGCTTCGCTGCACCTTCCAAATGGCCTGTGATCTCCGCCACGCCTTGTTTGGATAGCCATGGCTCAATAAAAGGGCGCACGGCTGGGAAAAGGAATCGCCATCAGTCCAAGCGGCGCTACGCGCTTTGGAGCTTTACCCGCATAGCTGCTATAAGAAGCCCGACACCCCCGTAGTTCCAGGAATCAGTTGGAGCTCCTAGAACCACGAGAGGAGAGCGGAAAGCCAATTAGCTCTCTCTCGGGACACTGCAGGACAGAGGACCCTGTCCCTGCGCAGCAGCAGCTGTTTTTGGAATTTGGAATGACCAATTGATCTAATCAGTAGAATTTTTAAAATTTACCTAATTTCTCACAGAATACTGGGAACCAAAGCAGTTGTTTGGACCAAAGACTGAGAGAAACTGAGAGCCAACAGGGAAAAGAGGATGTTAAAAGAAATTTCCCTCAGTCTTTGGACCAATCAGGCTTTTGGAATATCCCATGTGTGGCCCCTCCCTTGAGTCTACTGGAAAATCAGTGTGTGTGTGGGAGGGGGGAAAATCACCCTTGCTAAATAAATAGCACATAGACTTATATACTGCTCCGTAGTGCTTTTACAGCCCTCTAAGCTGTTTAGAGAATCAGCCTATTGCCCCCAACAATCTGGGTCATTTTACCTGCCTTGGAAGGATAGAAGGATGAGTCAACCTGACTCCTCCAGCATCAACTGTTGACCCAGAAGTATTCTTGCCAAGCTGACAAAGGCCAGAGAATACAAAATGCCACCATTATTCTGGGCATGTTACATAACAGGCATTTAAGCACCTGTTTATTTTCTTCAGGTCCCCTATGCAGTGTGTGTGTCAATCGGTTTGGCTGCCGTCCTGTAATGTTGGCTGGAGGCTTCTTTGCCTCAGCTGGGATGATCATTGCTTCCTTCTCCACTAGTATCATTCACGTCTATCTTTCTGTTGGTGTCATTACTGGTAAGTAAAAGCAAATGTCTTTAATGTATTGGCAGGCAAAGGGTTAATTTAGCAGTGTATAGTGATGGCATGTAATCCCATAGGTGCTTTTTTCAAGAGGCAACTGGACTTCCTTGTTTTTCTTTGAAGACGTTTCGCTTCTCATCCAAGAAGCTTCTTGGATGAGAAGTGAAACATTTTCAAAGAAAAACCAGGAAGTCCAGTTGCTTTTTGAAAAAGCACCTTTGGGACAGCCATGACCTGGATGACTAAGACTCTCCATAGACATGATGGCGTGTAAGTGGGAAAGAAAGGCTGTGTAGCCTCCTCTTTGATGTTCTCCTTTTGAATGTGCAGGGAGACTTATTTAACAGTAAGAGTTGGAAGGGACCTTGGAGGGAATCTAATCCAACCCCGTCCTCATGCAGGAGACCTGTACTAGGGTTTGGAATCGCCAAACTGCCAACCTTTTTGCAGCAGAACTCCCAAATGCACATCATGGTGATCATAAGATAGGAAGCAGCTTCTCCAGTGATGGGATTCAAACATTTTTACTACCAGTTCTGTGGGCATGGCTTGGTGGATGTGGCGTGGCAGG